GAAGGAAGGAAGGAAGGAAGGAAGGAAGGAAGGAAGGAAGGAAGGAAGGAAGGAAGGGTCTCCAAAACCAGTTTTATCAATAAAAGTCAAGTTTTGTTTCATTAAGATGACCTTCTTGTTTGCTTTTATGTACTTACAATATTTCTATAAAGTTTGAACACTTTATTTTTTTAATTTTTGGAAATATTATTGCCAAAATTGGGAATCTGCGTAATGCCCTTTGACTAGTTTATATCTCAGTGCACATTAATTTGGCACCAAAGTTAAGCATCTTGTGTGGACACAACCACAAGAGGCCTGCCTGATGCAACAACAACCTATGAAAGGTATTATCCTTAACTCAAACTAGGAAGAGAAGTTGCCAATTTTGCACCACTTGGGAAAAAACAACCGTTTCCAAACAGGACTTGTAAAGCAGTGGAATCAGGTGATCTTTCCTTGTTACATTCAACATAGACAGGAGATGAGAACATCCCCACCATTCTAGGAAGTGAGGCTGCTTTGGTGGATTTAAGCCTGAGGTTAAAAAACAGACACTTGGTTGAAGGCCAGTCTCTCCATGGAGAACCATACGTCACAGCCTGTAAACTGAACCCAAAGTTTCCATTGGGCCAAAGCAACAAGGGTTGCATCATAGCCTCCTTGTGTCCTCTAAATGCCTTTGGTCAACAGATGCCTTTTCAGTACAATGATATCATACCACCTGCATGACTACTTGCCTCTGAGCCAAAAGGGGTCCTTGCGAGGATCTGTGCTATATGCGTCGAGGGCCAAGCTCAACAGAGGGATTGTCTTTCTCAAGAACTGTCCCCCCATGCAAATTGAAGGGATTGAACTCCCATTCTAATCTAGCTTCCACCTATTGAAGCCTCGGATGGAAAGAGAAGTCAACCCTTAAAAGGCATGAGCCTCCAACCAGGACTCTGCAAGAACAGAGGTGTGGAACTTCCACCAGCCAGCCCCTCCATTTCACAAAGCAATGGGTAGGGCCAAATCATGAAATACCATTGACCTCATTGACATAGACACATCATTAAAATTAAATTCAATTAATGCACTTACTCTCCAATCACCTAATCATTTTCTGTCCTATCACATGAAAAGTCCCAAATTGGTAGCAATTGTCTCCAAGGGCCATATAAGAGTCTTTTAAAGGCAGCAGGGGCTTGGACTGGCCCCAAGAGGTATTCAGATGTTTGTGAGAATGCTCAATCCTACTGAGCCAAAAAATATCATCTTAATATCTCCCATAAAATGTCAAGTCTGCTCCTATGGGACCTTCCTGACTGATGGTTTTGCTGTGGCAAAGAGGATGGAGAGAAAGGAGGCAGCTTGAGCTGTTCTTGCAAGTTCCCAACTGCCTCTCCTCCCTCTAACTCAAGTTCTCTTGGGTCAACAAAAAGATTAACCCCATAGCCAATAACAACTGATATCAAACAGAATATTGTTTAATTGACACGGGAAGTCAGTTTTGAAAAAGTTTTGTAAAAGAGAGGCTCTCCGTATCAATCTCTAAGGACACAAACTCCAAAGTCTGACTTAGGGAAAAAGAATTAGGTACAGAGAAGATGAAAGTTAGATTTTTGAATAAGAATACATCTTCATGGTTCCAAAACATCATCCTAAACAAAACATATGCTCTAAGATGGTGCAGAGATTCATCTCAACTCCCATAGTCCTCTATCTAGGACCAACTTAATGCCATCATCAACAGAAGGCCTTGTGTCATCTTAAAAGCAACTCAAATTTCTGGTGTGAATCAAAAGCTGATGCCACAATAAATAGGCCACTGGACTCAATGGTTTTGCTGCAACAGGCCAACAGCTGACAACATTTTGACCACCTCCTGCTCAGAATGGCGTAAAATATGCAAACAAAACCCAACTTTTCTTTGTGAATTTGCAGGGATATTTTTCCCAGTTTCCCTCAAACTATGTCCCATTTGCAGAACTACAGTATGTATCTACCTGCTTCTCTTCTTTTTGAAGGCAAGACTCACAGGGGCTCTGAGGATGAAAGAACAGAGCTCAGCTAAGAGCCAGATTTAGAGCAGAAAGGGTGTTAGACTCGGTCTTAGGTCTCCACTCAATCATCTTGAAGCTTCAGAAGCTAATCCTGAGACAAGGAGGAAGATCAACTCTCTGGCAATTCCCTCTCCAGAGCCCCCCCCCCCCCCCCCCC